TCTATCCCTGTTAAGGATATTGAAGACTGTCTTGGCGCTAAATCCCTTCTCTTGTAGCGCCTTTGTTATCTCTGCAGGTGATACTTCGGGCTCTATGCCCTTAAGTACGACTTGCAGGCCCTTGCTGCTTTTTAGCTGATACGTGTAAAAGTTCTTTTTTTTGTCGGTGAGGTATTTCGATAATACTCTGTAATTATCTTCAGACTTCGTTTGAACTTTTGTTTCCTGGATATTGCCCTTTACAAGTGATATTATGTGGAAGTTCAAAAACTCCGTTGGATAATTAACTACATCATTGGGATTTGTTAAGGAATCAACGGATTTGTATGTCACCAAATCGCAAGCAATTTTTGGTTGAATGGTGAAATTCAGTGCGTGTACATCATTATTCTTTGCGGCACGAAGTTCTCGTGACTTAACCTAGTTATAATATTGAAAATTCTCAATTTATTGAGAGTCTACAAATCGGCCAAAGTCGTTGGTAAAAGTAATTAATCCAGATGTCGTCTCAACTGGGACTTTTCCATTTCCAACAGCTAAACATTGTTTGGAAAATTGTAATCATTTTGAAGTTGAACTCTCATATTAGTGGTTAGCAATAATGTTTTTACGTTATTCCATAAAGGTGATGCCTTCAGGTAAGCATTCAATTTCCCATCGCACTAGATCGGGAAATATTGCATGTTGAAGTATCAATTGTGTTTAAATTAAGTGGCAAAATAAGCGCAGAATGTGCGACTCTAGGAGAGTCGCTGCAATTCCAGATGATACTAACGCCAAAGTTACGTCACATCTTGGTCTAATAGTGGACAAAATTAATGAAATGACAAATGACAATAGTCACGCATTGATCCTCAATTAGAATCAATTCTTCGTTGTAGATTTTATCGGTTATATGGATATCAGAATTATTCGTTAGAATGCGCAAGCGATACAAGATATCTTCACATATGTCGGCTTTGTTTTGTTCCATAACTGAATTGGTTGTGAAGGAAAACATGTGGTGATGATAATTGCGAACAGCGTTCGTATTTTGTTAGCATTAAATGAAACAACTGAATCCGCAAGTATTAAATCGCAATCAGAATCGTGCTCCAGCAAACCCAATAGTGTACATCCTTCTCGATATGTTTGGCATTGGTGGCCATTAACAGTTTTCAAATGCGCAAATGATTTTAGTCCACATACATTTACCAACAGCAGTCGGAAATATGAACATTCATCATTTGTAGGATGAACAGTGTAAATGCGACCTAGTGCATAAGTGGAACACATCTGTGGCCAATCTTGAACATGTTTGCGACGTTGGAATTTCTTTGTTGATTGATTCAAGTGTAATACTTGGGCATTTAAACGTACATCAGCGTCGCTGTGAATGGACTTGCTTCACACATTGCAAAGAAGCTAGTCAATGTTGTCGATGGTGGTCTCTCAGCTTGTTGTGCCGCATTAGCCTCCGTGAAGTAAACTCTTTGGCCATTTTCCAAGTTAACTGCTAAATGTACAACTGTGGGGTATCTTTTTCTGAATTAGAAATGACAATAATCGCTATAGTATTTCATTAGCATTTTCCGACGGAATACAAAACACAGCACGACATGTCGCTGCCTTTTGTGACGTACTTGCACAAATATCTGATTGATTTGGCCGAATGAAAACTGTCAACGTCTGCATGTGTTTCGAAAATTGGTGATAGCAGTGGGCAATATGGTGCAATGAATTCATCTTAATCTCCTGATTTTGAACCTTAACTTTGATAGTTCGACCATTATCTTCTTTTGAACCACCATCTCTATCGTCACAGTGTCGTGTAGATGGGGATCAATGACTGGATCAGGAATTTCAGCTGATATGATGTGCATGCGGTAGTTCATGCTTCTACCATTCCGCCGAGTACATATAATAACGTGTGTCACCAAAAACTCGATACTTAGTATGCACATCCATCATAACCTTGAGTTTTTGCTGAAATACTCTAGCGAACTTGTGGTTTTTTGGCCGGTTTCAACTCACGTTCAATTTCCGTCCACTTCGGATTGCATTTGAACGTAATAAATAAATCCGGAGTTCCATAATTTCGCACATACGTCAAAGCGTCTTGAGCATATTCGTGCATGTGGCGTGGACTTCCGATATAAGATGATACTCTGAACTTCACCATCTGAATGAATAGCATCACGCAAGTGTATATAGTCCTCAGATCGTAGCTTTGCCTGATTGAATCGGATGAACGCTAAACGTTCGGTCTCGACTTGGACATACATGTGGACAGCGAATTGCTCAAATAGCGGACGGCACTTCAGAATGACATAATCCTCATGTGTATGAATATTCATACGATACGCATAGTAATTCTTTGCGCTTAGATTTATATTCGTTGATACTCCTGAAAATGCAAAATTAAATGAATTGTTAATGGAAACCAATAATAGCAATAATTAATGTATGAATACTGTACCTGCCATTGGATCGACCATCTTTAACGTGATGTCGTATCCATCTTGCTTGATTGGATATTGTAACGCACCGTACAATATTGTCGGTGAACGAGAATGTCTCCCGATTTAGTTGCATCGCCAACAATAATTGCAGCAACATCATTAACGGTAGGTGTATTGGGGTACAATCCGCTCATATTACAAATTTGTGCGTATCCGATGGCATTAGTTTCAATGCCGTTTTGAACATATTAAGTACAGCATTATTAGCGTGAAAAAATACTTTCAGTAGTTCAATTATTTGTCTTTTTAACTGTTATGTTCCCTGTATATTGCAACGCTCATTCAGCTGATCCACCATCGACGAAATGAAATACATTTGCAGAAATTTATGCGGTTCATCTGCTGTTGAACCATGCAAATGATATATTTGTCCTTGTATCTGTATTTGCAAACAATCATTTGTTGAAAAATACGGAAAGCAGTTATTGTATTAAAGGATGTGTTGAAGAAAATGGCTGGATACGGGATCACTTCCACCGAACAATGTTTTCAGTGAATGTGGTGGCGTAAGTAATGAATCCAGTTTGACTTTTCCACTTGCGCAGCACAATTTCTAACTTTAACGCGTTGCAATATCGGCATATGTTCATCATTGGTCCCATATTTTCATCAGTGATCCGCAGTGGGATCATATTAGAATGCCAAGCAATTGTATGATCCCATGCTCTTCGTGTGCTCACGCGTTGTCTCAATCGGGTGTTTTCTCTTATTATATATTGTCTTTCTTCGCTTAAGTTCTGTAAATACACTTGTTGCTGGCTTGCATGTCTTGTGCGGCAGCCGATGTTCGCACGTCGTTCTCTAGGCATTTTGGACTATGGACAGAGTGGTGAGTTTAACCTAAATGCACGATCCACATAATTTACACAGTTGAACTTATCACCTTAAAGACAAATGCCAGCTGTTGAAATTGAATAAAAATTCTTTTTTTCACAATTTCATAGTGAACACAATACCGGTTTGTCACATGAAAATAACTGAGCAATAAAATCGGTTTGTGCATTCTGGAGTTATAGCGTCAGGAAGAAAAACCCGACTTTTTTTTATTTAGTAGATAAAGCGGTTGAAAGACCAAGAGCCAAAAATGAACTTGGACATTTATACGTGTTAGATTTTAAAATTAAATGAAACAAGAAAAGAAGCTAGCTTCGGCAAGCCAAAATTTTTATACCCTTGCAGTCTTCAAATACGTCAAACAAAATACAAATACGTCGAACAAAAATACGATTATTCATATGACATGTATATGATATAGTCGTCCGAAAACTCTATATTCTGAAAATAATGCTTGTCTGATGAAAAACAACGATGTTATCATTTTTCCCGGTAATTCTCTATAGATTTTTGATCTTTCCTATGGCAGTCATGTAATACAGTTGGCCGATTATTATAAAATTTTTTTTATAATTCAAGGCTAGTCAAAAAACTTGATACTTAAAAAATCATAGTCTTGTGATCTAAATCAACGGCGTTATCAATTTATTTCCATTAATTCTATATATATTTTCGATCTTTCCTATGGCATCTACATATATAATAACTTTGTTAGATTTTAATAAAAATTTTTTTCTCGATTCAAGGGTTATTAAAAATCTTAATATTTTGAAAATGATGCTCATCGGATTTAAAACAACGATGTTATAATTTTGTTTCTATTATTTATATATATATTTCCTATGGCAACTATATGATAGAGTTATCCGATTTTTATAAAATTTATTCCGAAATTCAATAATAGTTAGAAAACGCCATCTGGAAGAATTCAAGTCGATCTGATTAAAAACAACGGCGTAGGAATTTTTTATTTCATTCTCTCGTATGGGAGCTATGCGATCCGGCTCGCTCCGACTTATATACTGCGTGCAATAGCTACACAACTTTTGGTAAAGTTTCAGCAAGGTAACTTTAAAACTGAGAGAATAGTTTGAAGAGAAACGGACAGACGGACAGACAGACAGACAGACAGACAGACAGACAGACAGACAGACAGACAGACGGATAGACGTATTTCGAGTCTGATCGTAATGCTGATCAAGAATATTTATAATTTTTCTTTTGCTTTTTCATTCGAAACAAATTTTATGAATATCGAACGACTATATAATGTAGCTGTTATAAGAATAATCAGCACAACCAAAAATGATAAAAAAGTTAATAGAAAAATCAACATAACTTCGTTGTTGTTAGCCATTCATTTATTTTGCTCAACATTATGCAATTCGTTACGGCTAAAAATCCTTTCACTATAGACTTGTGCTGACTGCGAGTTTGGAAACGAACTCTTATCTATGGAGTTTTCGAACTCAGAAATGGATATAAACTTGCAGTTAAAACAAAAAATATCTAAAAACGCAATAACGATAAGTTGGTAAGTTTGGATATTCAAAGGAGAAAATTAATAAGCTATTTGGAAAAGACACAGTAAGCCAAAAAAAAGTTAGCATTTTTTATTAAATAGAACCCTCTCCAACCATTTGTAGCAAAGTTATTAGAACTTACCTCTCCGATATAGTCAAAGAAAACATCCTATAAAGATCTTGATCCGTGTCGTTCAGTTTTATGCCCTTCGTATCTTCCTCGTCAAATGATCCGATATCAAAGGCATCAGCGGCATTTACTTCACCTCTAGGGGGTACTAAGGGCGGAGTATATTTTTGAATATAAACTTGGTGCCAATCGATTCCACAAAAAAAACTATGCATTTTAACTTCATCCGCACTAAAAAGCAACAATTTTAAATAAGTTTAAAATTACCGAATTCAAATATCTCACCCATTCCCCATGCAACCAAGACGTTTAGGTACATCCCTTTGAAGTAACATTTCTAACAAACTTCTTAATTCCATAGAAAACGATTCTGGAAGTTCTACGTTCTGCAAAACAAAAAAAATTAAGTATTTATCTTGTTGCAAATAATTTTTTTTTCAGTATTACCTATTACCAAAGAGTGTATGCAGAACCTAATAAGAGGACTTAAGCAAAACACCCGTTAAAAATAAGAGGATAAATTTTAAAATTTTGTTTATTAATTATAAAATAAATAAATTCTTTAAGGCCAGGTTCCTCAATTTTGAAATAGTATAGAATGAGTCCCGATGGTCAGCAAGACCGAGAAGTAGGTATAAAAGAGTGAGAAGCGCTGCGGGAAACCCGGCCGCTCGAACGCCTTAAAAACTTCAAACTGATTTTTCTCCGAACCACGTTTTTTCGCATGGGTGACACTCTCATTTCGGCATTTTACTCTTAAGATATCTGGCTATGGCCGGAACCAGAACCAAAAATATTCATTATTTTTTAAAAAAGTACTAAACAATTAAAAGTGAAAAAAGTGTTAAAAAAATTCAAAAGTCACCCATTTTTTTATTTTTTATTGGAAAATTTTTCATTCTGGTTCATCCCATAGCTACTTCGATGCAGAACACGAAATAATTTTAGTTTTTGCTTTCAGATAATTATTTTTTAAGTAATCATGTCACCCATCTACGAATCGGATGAGTTTCAGACAGAGCTCGCAAATAACAGTCGACCGTTTCTCGTTGTCTGCTTGTAACAGTCTTCTACTGACTCTTTACGAAAAGGCTCAGAGAACGACCGATTTATGGGTTCGTGAATGGGTTCGGTTACGCTCAGACCGAAACCGTTTTTTTCTATTCGGTTTTGTTCTGGTTGCTCCAAGACCGTCGTTTCAGTGAAGCAAAAGGTCTTTTGCATATCGACGCATTTCCGCGAATGTATCGTATGTTGAAAAATCAAATTTTACAGGAGAAGCTTTTTCTTTATTTTTGTATTTCGGTATTTTTGTGCGATTGCAGTATTTCCATGCAAATTTGTATGGACATACGATAATTTCGCGCGCACATTGTAACATACGATAAAATTGAAACTTAATTTTTATCGGAACTATAGGGCTTTCAGTTATAATATTTCACAGGGTAGTGGGACATAAGGTGCCTAACAATTTTGCATTAAAATCTCAATTTCGAAAAAAAGCGACAAATGCGCAAATGCGTCGATATGTATTGGTATACAGTGCACGTATAGGCAAGCAAATCGTTAAACATCGCACTATGAGGCAAACGACCAGTTTTTGTGGCATTTATTAGTAACTTGAAAAGTAATCAACATTTTCGGGATCTGTTTTTTGATTCGAGTTAATAAAAAAATAAAACATGTTTTTTAAGAAAAATAGGTGTGGCTTCGCCCATATTTTAATAAGATTAAAAAAATTTTCTTTTTTTTTTTTTTTGACTAGAATTACACAGCCACACAAAAAAAAAAAAATTTTCGGGCCCGGAGGTCAGACCATGTTTTCTATATGTTTTCGGGGTCGCTGAATCCGAATCCGAGGTCCAAAAAACCCCAGCACGTCAGGGTTCTGACATAACCTCAAAAAACCTCATACAAAATTTTATTCGAGTCCGTGGGCCAGACCATGTTTATTATATGTTTTCAGGGTCCCTGAATCCGAATCCGAGGTCTAAAAAACTCCAGAATGTCAGGGTTACGACATAACCTCAAAAACTTGATAAAATTTTTATTTTCCGAGTTCTGGGCTCAGACCATGTTTACCATATGTTTTTGGGGTCGCTGAATCCGAATCCGTTGTCTAAAAAACTCCAGTTTTTTTTTTTGATGTTATGTGGTAACCCTGACATTCTGGAGTTTTTTAGACCTCAGATTCGGATTCAGCGACCATGAAAACATATAATAAACATGGTCTGACCCACGGACTCGAATATAATTTTGTGTGAGGTTTTTTGAGGTTATGTCAGAACCCTGACGTGCTGGCGTTTTTTGGACCTCGGATTCGGATTCAGCGACCCCGAAAACATATAGAAAACATGGTCTGACCTCCGGGCCCGAAAATTTTTTTTTTTTTGTGTGGCTGTGTTATTAAACAAAAAAATTAAAAAAAGGTTCTTAGCGTTTTCTATAGTAAAATGTTTGCGAGCTTGGCCAAGTGCCATGTCTTCTCTCAAACTGTGTTAAATTTCTATTGCTAGGTTAGCACCTTAAAAGTTAAATTTTGAAGAAAGTGCACAAAAGTGCACTTTTATATTAACTGAGTATACGAAGAATTGATTAATCTACAACATAAAACAAGTTTTAGAGCTGGACTCAGCTGGACTCACTTAGTTGCTCTATTTAAAAACAAAAATTTACGATTACGTTTCAAATTTTTGAGGTTAGAACTTACACAAGATTATAGGGACGCCACAATCAATTTTTAGAATTCAAGCTCACAAACACATATTACAAACCATTCTGAATCGACTTCCATTCACACATTTTACATAAATTGGTTTTAAACGCGCTTTTTGAACCTTTTAAAGTTTAAACAAGTACAAACGATTTTACAGCACGTGCTTCTGTTAAAAAACAGCTGACTTTGACAGCTGATATTTTAACAGTAGTGCGGTCTGTTAAAATTTTAAATACGTAACATTTTACCTCAATGTTATCTTAGCTCATTGCGATTAAAAAAAATTTTTTTTAACGATTTTTGCGGACGAAATATATTAATCGTCTTCGTGAATTAAACGTGTGTGTGTAAATGCGAAGACCGTTTGCGTTGAGTTTTTCGGTCATCTAAGGAAAGGAGTAACTAGCTACTGTGGCCATCGACTCGACAATTGATAACGATTTTGTTACATTTATATTTGTAATTCAATATTTGATGAAAGGGAATATTAAATAATTAATAGGGGTGTTTAAATTTGATGTCAAATTTTACATATCCGTATGAAAGATAATAACAGTTTAGCCGACTTTCCCCATTAAGGATGTGCTTATGTGTGAGATTTGTATGTCCGCAGAGGTGACCAATTTCGGATAAATGGTTGTTGTTATTGTAAAAGTTTTGTATCCTTGCAGGGTGGACAGACTATCACTGCAGATGATATATCTTCTCTTAAGTTTGAGAGCAAATTTAACTGCCTTAATAATAGACACTGCTTCCGCAGTAAAAACTGAGTGGTGGTGAGATAGCTGACCCCATGAAACAATTAATCCGTGTTGGTTGTGGCGTCGGACTCTAAACCATCGGTGTAAAGCCATTTCCAATCGGAGTTTTTAGGGGTAACTTCTTCAAATAGCTGCTTAATCACGTTGTGATTGGAGTTCTTGATTTTTGGAAATCATGAAGTGTAGTGTCTATGGCGGTGAAGTGCGGCCAAATGAGTAAGTTTATTTAATTGAGCTTAATAACATGTTATTGTTCAACTTTTAAAGAGTATTAGAAAAAAAGTTATGAGAAATCGAAAAATATTAGGTTGTCAAAAAAGTCTTGCGGTATTTTTATTGAATTTTCAATTGTTCATAAAATTGGTTACAATAATGCGATTCAAGTCAAATATGCGCCGTTTTGTTCGATGGCGCGTTCCCAACGAGATGCCAACTTCATAATGCCCCTCTCATAGAAGCTCGCTTCCCTATTGGCAAAAAACTCGGAGAGCCAATTTTCACAGGACTCTCTTGTGGCCAACTTCAGACTACCAAGCGCGTTCGCTATGGACAGAAACAGGTGGTAATCACTTGGTGCGAGATCCGGACTATACGGTGGATGCAAAAGAACCTCCCATCCGAGCTCCCGGAGCTTCTGGCGCGTCACTAAAGATGTGTGTGGTCTGGCGTTGTCCTGGTTGAAGACAATTCGGCCTCTGTTGATCAAAGATGGCCTCTTCTGCATGAGTGCTGTCTTCAAGCGGTCCAGTTGTTGGCAGTACAGGTCCAAATTGAGCGTTTGGCCATAGGGGAGCAGCTCATAGGGGATTATTCCCTGCCAATCCCACCAAACACACAGAAGAACCATCCTGGCCGTCAATCCAGGCTTGGCCACCGTCTGGGCCGCTTCACCGCTTTTCGACCATGACCGTTTGCGCCTTACGTTATCGTAAGTAACCCACTTCTCATCGCCAGTCACCATACTCTTCAAAAACGGGTCGATTTTATTGCGATTTAGAAGCGATTCGCATGCGTCGATACGGTCAAAGATGTTTTTTCGTGTGTGAAAACGTTGAAACCATCGTTGTGCGGTGGAAATGGAAACTGTATCGAGTCCATAAACTGCACAAATTTTATTGGTGGCTTGAGATGCATTTTTGCCTTTATCGTAGTAGTACTGTAAAATATGCCGTATTTATTATGACTTTATAGCTAACGAACGACTTAAAAGAAAAGACAATCAATCAAACACGTGTTAGCGCGTTAAATGAGCTTTCCAAAAAGGTATTGCATGACCTAATGCGACGAATAAAACAAGAACTTTCAGCGCCAACTAGCGAAAATACCGCAAGACTTTTTTGACAACCTAATATATATAGAAATAATGGAAAAAAAATTAAAACGTCTTTGTATTTAGTCCCAAGCGCAGGATTTTTAAAATATAGAGTTTTCAGATAACCCTTGGTTCGAGAAAAAATGTCATTAAAATCCGACCACGTTATCATATAGATGCCATAGGCAAGTTCCAAAAATCTATATAGAAATAACGGAAATAAAATTATAACATCGTTGTTTTTATCAGACAAACATGATTTTTGAAATACAAAGTTTTCTAATGACTCTTGAATTACAAATTAAATTTTATCAAAATCGGACGAAAATATGGAAAATTAATAAAAAAAAATCGTCACAGCGATGTTGTTTAGCCTTTATGTATTTTGCTCGACATATTTGGTGACTGCATGTAAGCTCGCTGCCTTTCTTGTTGAATAATCGTTTCAATAATAAGCGTCTAATTTTCCAATCTCACATAACACTGTGCGACAAAAAAATGTTTAAGTTGATTTTTTCTTATTTTTCACTTCTACTAGTCAAAATAAGAATATAAGTTTTTGGATTTGTTAATATCAATAGCCAATCAGCTTTTACG